AGGAACAACAAAGGAAGAGAAGAGGAAACCCACTGAGTGGGAGAAAATCTTCACCAGCTACACATCCGACAGAGGATTAATATCCAGAATAAACAAAGAACTGCAATAAGAAAAAAGTAAGAAAATAAAAGACCCAATACAGAGATGGGTGATAGACCTGAACAGAGAGTTCTCAAACGAAGAAATGAAAACGGCTAAGAAACACCTTTAAAAGTGCTCAATATCACTAATAATTAGAGAAATGCAAATAAAACCGCTTTAAGATTTCATCTTACCCCAGTCAGACTGGCTAAGATCAAGAGAACAAATGATACCAAATGTTGGAGAGGATGTGGGGAAAGGGGAACACTCATCCACTGCTGGTGGGGCTGCAAACTTGTTTAACCCCTATGGAAAGCAGTGTGGAGATCTCTTAAAAAAGTACAAATGAACCTACAATTTGACCCAGTTATACCACTCCTTGGCATATACACAAAGAACTCATCCTATTGCAGAGACACTTGCACATCCATGTTTGTTGCTGCTCTTTTCACAATAGCTAAGAGATGGAAGCAACCTAAGTGTCCCTCAATTGACAAGTGGATAATGAAAATGTGGTTCATTTATACAATGGAGTTTTACTCAACACTAAAGAAAAATGAAATCATGAAATTTGCATGCAGATGGATGGAACTGTTATACTAAGTGAAGTAACAGACTCAGAAAAAAAAAATCGACGTATGTTCCCCCTCAAATGTGGATCCTAGAACCAAACCCTGATAAGTGAGTATGTGTCCAGATATAATTACACGAACCAGGATAATGGAAAGGAAACAGGGAGATAAAGGAAAAGAAAGACCCTTAAAGAGAAGAACAGTAGGAAACAGGCCTTAATAAGGGAGATATGGATAAAAACTTGGTTAGTTTAAGGGAGTGGAGAGGGAAGGGTATACAAGGAACCTAGGGGATAAAGGGAAAGAAGGATCTCAAGAGAGATAGGACCTTAGGAGAAGGGTATTATTATGGGAGAATGGAGGGAAATGGGGGCACCTTAAGTGGGAAAACCATGATGGAGGGGTGAGACAATGCAAGAGATAAATAATGCCTAGCTAGTTGTAAAAACCAGAGGGGACCACATTACTCCAACAATCCTGACAAATTATACATAGCAGATCAAAAATATATGACTAGGTAAGGTTTACCTGAGAACAATTGGTCTTTGCCCAAGATTTATCTCCATAACACACAGTAATTAAAAGTACCAGACTGGTGGAACTAACCTTCTTGGATGTTTAACAGACATACTTTGAGGCCTTTAATAATTTGGTCAGAGGGACATAAAGGACAGTTTTGCTCCTTGCCCTCCTAGGTCGACTAGTTCCTGGGGACTATGAGCATCTCTCAAAATGTCCTGTAATTGTGGTGGGTCACCTGTCCTCTTGATCAAGGAGGCTGGGGAGACCCTACCAGATGGATTTGAACCAGTGTCCAGTCTACAAAGAGGAGGGTCAACACGGAGGAATCATTTCCTTCATGCTTCCAAGTGAAGCCAACTATGGTCGAGCAAAATAAATTGGTTTATCTGGTCCAACTGTATGGCCTTAAACACCCAAAAGGAAACTATAACCAAAGATTAAAGGGGCCAATATAATTTTTAAAGAGTCCATATGCATAGCTAAAGGCTACATAGCAAGCAACAATGCCAGATAGGAGAAACCTTCTTTTGAGTTGTTGCCCAAGGTGGCCAAAGGGACTCTCAGATAGTAACCCAGCATAGAACTGGAAAATGAACAACAGACCCCAATCTTATCCAAAGGAATATTGACAACTGATTGGGGCTAGATGAGGAACAGCTGACCTTCCTAAAACAAAGACCTCTAGATAGGCTGACTAGATTCACCAGATGGACAAGTAGTGGGGAATGGCTCGGGGTGCCGGCAACACAGCAGACAGTAGCAGGGATATCAGAGTATAAGGGCTCTAGTGGGGGGAGGGAGGCTATGGGAGGGTGCCATCTGGGAAGTGGGTGTATAGTTGAATAAGATAGTTTGGGGTGTTCTGTGTGATACACACACACACACACACACACACACACAAATCAACAATTTTTTTAGAAAATGTATTATATTTGAGGAAGAAGCATGGAAATTTATGCCCTGTTAATTAGTAGAGGTGATAAACATTACCATTGAAATCTACCCGATGAAGCCATACACAGGTGCCAAGGATCTGAGTGCAACCAAGTATGACTAGTAATAATCAGACAAATATAGATTAGAGATGCATGCGTCAACATCTCAGTGTTAGCATTCGGTTTTATGTCTTACAGGGTTTATACTGAGTTCAGTATTGTATAACTGTATTAATTCAACTGTGAACCTAGAAACTTACAGCCACTTGTGAAAGAGATGTATTCTTGCTCTGGAGTGTGTTACTGAATATATTAAAGCTGTAATGAAATGCTTCTTCTAATCATGTAGTTATTAAGAATTAAAAGAAAACACTTAAAAAAGCAACAAAAATAAAAAACAATAAATAAAATATTTTTAAAAACTATATATAGGTGGTGAGCTGAGAAGCATTAAGTCCCTCTTGAAGTGGTTTACATCTTAGGAAGAATGGACCAAGAACACACAGGGGGAAAATTGGATTTCAACCATATCTGTAATGCTTACTTGCTTTAAGGGAAAATATGAAGATTTGGGGGAAATGTTACAGGGTCCCAGCTTAAGATGAAGAGCTACAGGGAATCAGTGGATGCTGAGAGAGGGACAATCAACTTTCTCCAGTTGAGAGGGAGTGGGCATGGAGGAGTTGGTGGGGGCTGGGAGGGATGCAAGTAATGCAAATATATTACCTATGTATGAAATTCTCAGAAAAAGCAGATATGACAAAATGCTAATATTTCTGATGGCTCTAAGACCTTGCTACCAAGTGTGCAGAAGGCAGTGAACAGGCCAGGTGTATAGAATAACAGAGAGGGGTGGAGGGAGGGATTCACTCTTCAGTTAATTTCCTCTCCTCCAAATGCTTCCACAGATGGCCATATCTGAGAAATACATTGAGCTGTGTGTTGGGAGATAGGAACTGTTTCACTGTTCAATCCCTATTGGGTTTGAAATGTTGCTCCTTCCCCTGGGCCTCAGTTTCCCCTTCTTAACTAAAGAGGGATTAGATGAATGCTGAAGTCTTTCCCAACCCTTATTTTCTAGAACTGTGTGGGCCATTGGAAGAGATTTCATCTTTGGGGCAGAGTGACACAACTCTAGTCATGTAGGACTAACTTCCTGCTACATGGAGACAATTCTCTGTGCCGTTCTTGGAATTTGGTGCCACCTTCTCCTTGGGAATTCGCATTGCCCTTTCAATGCTCAGCTCTTGTGAGCTCTCCCCTTTTCAAACTTCTTAACATTTGATTAAGTCACAGGTGTCCACTCTAGATTGGTATCATGTGGGAACAAGAGCCTGGCTTTATGCCTTATTCCTCGTTGTGATCCCTGAATCTGATGTAGAGGCCAACAACAGAGGCAGGGCATTAACTGCTGAAGATGTAAAAGATAGGGGAGAAGGCGTTCCCCATGAAAAATGACCCTGCGCAGGGCTGCAGAACAGCACCTCCTCCCCTCTTCCTCCTCCTTCTCGGGCTGGCACACACCTCAGAGTGGAGGCAAGGGAGAACTGGAACCCCTAAAGCCTTCTTTAGCGTTCCCCTCTCAGGTCCTCTCTGCCTAAGATTTTCCTTTGGGAAAGCCCAGCGGCAGGACTGACAGCTGTGATTTCCAGACCTGAGGTAGTGCAGGGACTCTGGACCTCCTTCCCGAACCTATTCCTCCTCAGAGACTTGATGGGTGGGTAGTGCTGGCCCAACCCTTGCTCGCTAACTCCTCGAAGGAGGGCCTAGACCAGCAGGTTTTGGGAATGTTGGACCAGAGCATGCTTGGATGGACTGGGTGTTACTTGGGGGGGGGGGGGTAAGGGTACAACAGTGGTGGGCGGTCCCATAGCTTCATCAGTCCTAGACTCAAAGGCAGAGATTGATGCGCTGTCTCAGCTCTCCAGGCTTCCCTCCCCAGACCCCAAAGTGCGGAGCTGGCACCCCGGCGCTGGGTGGGTGGGGCCTGTCCGAAGGGCGGGGCCCCAGGGCGCCTCGTGGCCAGGGCGGCCCCGCCCCCATTCCCCCAGCTCCCTGCGATCTGGCTCCGCCGAGCTGTCCAGCCTCAGTGCTGGAGCTGGCTGCCTCCCGCGCCGCGCCACCCCTCTCCGCGCCTGGTCCCAGCACCGCGCTCCCGCCCTCCCGCTCTGCGGCCGGCCCCGCCTCACCCTGCCCCACCGTGGCCGGCCCACTTCTCCCCGCGGGCCCGAGCTGGCCGAGCGGCTGCCCGCCGGGGACTCGAGCGGTGCGGCGGGGCCGGGAGCCGAGGGACCCGCCGAGGGGATTGGCGGCCCCGGACGGCTGCCGGAGGGGCGGCCGCGCGTGAATGCGGCGGGAGCCGGAAGCCTCGAGCAGCCCGCGCCGTCTCTGCCCCCGGGCGCCCTATGGCTTGAAGGTAAGCAAGGACAGAATGCAGTGACAGGAGACTGGTGGCCGCAACAAGGGGGACAGGGAGCGGAGAGAGAGCGCCCAGGGCTGAGCGGCTGGGAACAGAAGTTTGTCGGGCCACTCTAGCTCCGCTTGTCCAGGAGCACCCTTCCCACCAAGTCTCCGTCGGGCAGATTTCGCCAGAGGCATGGGCAACCCGGCGTCCGCCATCCCCTCTCCTCCCTTCTTGGCACCCTTTGCGCCGCCCAGGTGGGAGTCTTTATCGTGGGTACCAGCGGGCGCAACCGTGGTTTCGGAGGGCGGCTGACCCCCAAAGATCTTGGTAGGGCACTTTTCCCCTTGACACCCGAGATGCGGACCCCAGGGCTCGCACCAGAGTTTTCCACCGCCCCAGAGGAAGAAGGTTTTTTTTTTTTTTTTTTTTTTTTTTTTTTTTTTTTTTTTTTTTTTTTTTTTTTTTTTTTTTTTTTTTTTTTTTTTTTTGGCATTTCTGTATTGGTGCAACCTTAGACTTTTCAAAGGGTAAAAGCCAAGGGTGAGGAAGAGGCGGGCTCCTGCTGTAGTTTCTCATCACTGCTAGGTTTGCCGCTGTCCTTAGTGCTGAATTCTCAGTCTCTGCTTCACTGAGACTCAGTGGGGGAAGAGAGCTCGATTTTCAAGACCCATTTCGATCCTCGAGTGCAGGTGACGGTGAGGGCGGGGGACAGTGGCACAGGGCGACTGTCCAGATCTGGGATGGATCAAGATCCCCACTAGGTCTCTATGCAGGGACAAGAGGCAGCTCTAAGCGTCAGGCAGAGCGAGTCCTTGTCCCTGTCTGCGGAGGCAGGCAGCCTGTGAGCGGTTCCCTTGGGAAGCAGAGGTAAGAGAGCCCGTTGCATCGACACAACAGGCTTCTTCGCCATGGACACAAGTCACGGCACTGCAGCTCCCTGGGGTCAGGACTTTGCTCTCAGCCCCAGGGTAGCTGCTTCAGCGAGTCAGTGTCGCCGGCCTGGGCACCTTGCTACTTTCTGTGCTGGGTTCATGAATGTTGGGTGAGGTGCAAGCCAATGTGTGGACTCCCTCTCTCTAGATCCTTCACCAGATTCAACCATTTCTGGATTCTGACCGGGCTACAACCTTTCAGGCTAATCCTTGATCCTATCCTGGAGAACTAGATGTTCATTGTAGTAGCCCCAACCCCCCTTCAGATGCAAATACTGGGCCTATGCCTGATTCATCCTGCTGCATTAGGGCCACTTGGAAAAGCATTCTTTTCATCTTTCCCATGTGCTGCTCTTTGGTGAGGGTGGGCAGAGAGCTGCTTCAGTGAATGCAACCAATTTTAAGAGAATCAGCAAGCTGGCTTACTGGGTTCCAGCCCCCTGCCTCGGACTTCTCTGCTTAGTGTTCAAAATGCATGGCAAATTTGTCTTTAGGGGGGCTCTGATAACATCTCTGAGCTCAGACCTCAGACAGAGAAGGGGATTGGGAAGGTTAGAACTAAATGAGACTGGGCCTCCCAGTCTTGGACTTCTTGTTCGGTCATGGAGCTGGGGATAAAAACCAGGGCCTTGCACGTGCTAAGCAAATGCTCTACCATTGGACTATATGCTCAGAATTTCCAAGCTTTGGTCTGTTAAAGAATGTTTCGAGTTCCAGCCACCTTCCTTGCCTGGAAAATGAAAAGATTCCGATGTGTTGTAGAGGCCCCAGGCAGCATTTCTCTAAGCAATTTAAAGAAAAAAAAATATCCCTCTCTACATCTGAATCATCTGGGAAGCTGGATAAAAACACATATTTTTGCTTCTTCCCTGAATAAAATGCTGAATAAGACTCTCAAGCTGAGGCCTATGGGCTTATGTTTTAACTGTGATTCTGGGTGATTCATATGTATGCCCTTTTGGGAAATTGCCTATCATGAAAGTTCAGAGTTATAAGAATCTGTGTATATTTTTAATTGATAAAATTCAGGTTTCTAACTTATCCCATCATCTCTCAAAGTTATTCATGTTAAATTCTTTAAATATGGGAATGGAGGTGGAAGACCCAACCTTCCACTGATTCAGTCTGGTTGCTGTGACAAAAGATGCAATTCAATCTCCTCCCCTCCTCCCCCAGGATTCTCCTGGCTTTGCTTCTTTTTCAAACTGATTTTTTTTTAGCCTCTCTAGGAATCACCAATATGTCTGCAGGTGGCCTTGTATACTAACTGCCTTTCTCTTGGGGCTAACCCAGTGCATGCCTCTTGCCCTCCCCTTCTTGTGGGTGATGGCATTTTATTGTGCATGTGTTGTGATCTGCTAACACAACTGCTCATGAAATGCCAAGGAGTGATTAGTTCAGTCTAGTAGTAGTACATCATGCTCCCCAAGGCTGGTAGCCACTCATGCCCTCCTGGCAGTGACTTGTTAACTGTAATCATTTGATTCTTTGCTCCATAAACTGGGAAGTTTGTGGCGATGAATCAGCCATCTGTGAGCCAGTCAGTCTTCGAGGTTGGATGATTTCTGTTTAGAAGATGCAAATGTAACTTCAAGAATAATTTAGAAGAAACTGCAATTGAAAGAAACTTTTCTGTTGCTCTTTTGCTACCAAAGGAATCAAAGGGGGGAGGTGCTCAGGGCCTTATCAGAAACACTGCTTTAAATATTCCTGAGATGACCTGCTAAAGTCACATGAGTCTCGTGTCACTGTTCTTTGAGAACAAGAAAAGATTTGGGAAAGGGAATGATTCATGAACTCTGCCTGGAGAGAGATGTCTCTATCTTCCCTGCAAGTGACACCTGCACTGTTGTGTTGAACAGAAGTGTGGTCACACTGTGTCCAGGTACCTGTGTGTATGTGTGTGTGTGTGTGTGAGTGCAAGCATGCATGCATGCACACATGGGACAAGTATGATGAGACCTTGAACCAACCCTGTCTCTTCCCTTGACTTGTCCTTTCTGACCCACCACTCTTTCTTTTCCCTTTATGACTAATATCTGAACCTCTAGCAGGGAAGGTATTTCATCACCTAGGCAGGACGTGGATATTTTTACTGAGCCATATTTGAGAAACCTTCCCAAACCATGTTGTATATCAGCAGCTCACAGTCACCTAAGGTTTCACATTTTAGAAAGAAATTAGAAGTGTGGTCAAGTCATTCACATATCCTAAGACATTGTTTACAGGACTTTAGAACCTTAGGTTGTTTGTGCTCCTCAGAAGTCATCCTGGATGTCCCTGCTTCCAAATAAGATGAGTGCCCAGAAATATTTAGCTTCTCTCCTGTTACTAAAGTTCTCTCACAAAAGAATTGTGTCAGGTTTCTAGTTCCTGGATCCTAGGATTGTACTTAGCAATCAAAGCTTCCCCATCTTACTATATGTTCTGCTTAACAGGGATACATTTGGCATATAGGAAAAGCTTGGAAACTATAGGCAGCAGAAAGGGCACAGCTTGACTCAGCATCTCTGAAGGAGCCCTCTTCTTCCTATGGCCTCTTAGCTTAATGCCAGTATCATTTTCCCCTCCTCGACCACTATATCCTGTGGCCCTGGGAGGACTCCAGAGTTTGTCTTTTGCTTATATCTCCTCCAGATTTCCATGGTACTTAATGGAGATACCGAAGGTGTACAAATTGCTTATTCACCAATTCTAGGTCACAGATTGAAATTATCCCCATATTTTCAGTTCCTCTAATAGTGCTGGAATCCAGCATTAATATACTGTTTCTTATTTCTCCCTATCATCAGCATGATTGAGGGCATTTTTCTTATTTTAAAAATATAATAGGATCATATTATCTATCTGTATGAGTTTGGAAAGTAGCTTGATTATAGTGTCTATACGTGATGATGGAGAAGAAATAAAAATATAAGCCACTTAGTTTGCATCTGAGTCCAGAAACAGGAGAGAAACTTTCCCATTGAACTATACATCTTGCCTCACCTTGTCCCTTTCATCTTAGTCTGATAAATGGGTTAAATTGACAGCTCTGGCAGCCAAGCTGGCCCCAAAGAGAGCCTTGAATTCTCTCCCTAGGAAACAGTGGAATGTTTCTCTTCAGAAGAGTCAAGGCTCCCCATAGGCTCCAATATTCAGGGAGGAGGCAGAGATGAGTCACTGGGATCTGGGGACTCCCTCCTCCCCTTGGTAGAAAAGGCTATACTGTAGCAGTGCTCCAAACTGAGAAACCTAGAGATGTATTGGAGCATTTTGGAGACTGGGCAGTGTGTAAAGGTGGGAACAAAATCAAAAGGCTTGTAGGAGGTCCCAGAATAAACTGACATTAAGAATACTCTGGATATAAGCATCGGCTTCATGCAGTCTGGGCAGTTTTGTTATCATTTGTGGGCACCTGCAAGGATTTCCACTTTCCCCAGGAGGAGAAGAGGAAAGTCTGCTGTCTTCAGGGGTGGAAAGAGAAGGGAGGACCTCTGACTTTCCCTGGAGCCCTGGAGTGATGTCAGCCTGCTCCCATAGAGAGGCTGATCAGTGAGGTCAGGCAGACTTAGCTTCTAATGGCCCAGGGCCCTGCCTCCCAGCATAGAACTACAACTGTGGCCCCAGGGACTTTCCCCTGTAGATGTCTGGGAGACAATGTGAGTCCTGGGGCCCATCTATTCATCACTGGGCTCCTTCAGAATGAGCCTAGCCTGCTCATTTCCACCCCCGCCTTGTTGTTATTGTTTGGGTCTAAGTGGCCCAGCAGGGAAAGGCATTAGAAATGAAATTATTTTTGTTGCATTGTATAATTGCCTCTGTTCCTTCCTGTTACCCCAGGCAGCAGCATCAGGAGCAGTTCCCTGGGAACCCTTGGTCTGGGAAAGTGGCTCACTCACAGACTTCCTTAGAATGGCTGCTTTCGACAAGTGGGCCTGCTTACCAGTCTCCCAATTGTTGGCCTCATTGTCACAGCAGCAAATATTTATCACTCACTCTCTGTACACAGTATTTAACTTGTGTTTTTTCATTTCAATCCCCCATCCTGTAAAAACTCAAGGAAACAGGTACTCTTACTATCCCCGTTTATAGAGGAAG